GGGCGTGGGGAGGGATCTGGCAGGGGAGTATTTTGTTGAAATGTGAGATACAGTTGCCATTTCCTTCTGTACTTTGATATTGTTGCAATGGGCAGAGGGCCAGAGGTCACGGCTCAGGTTCCTCTACCCCTCCGGCTTGAGTCTCTCTGAAAGGGACAATTTGGGAAAAGATCCTGACTCAGGTAAATTACCCTTGTTATGCCCGAGTTTTCGCGTCCGAGAGACCACCAAGGAGCCAACACCGATGCAATCACACGAGGGTTTATTTAACAAGCTTAAGCTTGGGCCCAAGTATACCCGGCACAGCAGAGTAGGGACTTGGACCCCGAGCTTAGTTAGGGCAGGGGTATTTATGGGTTCCTATTACTAAAGAAGGGTGGGGATTCCTGTTACTAAAGCAGGGTGAGGGTTTCTGGAACTAAAGTAAAGTAGGGGAAAGTTCAGCCCTTGGTCACAGGGGCCTGAGATGGCTGCCGAAGCTAAGAGGGCTGTACTTAAGCTAAGGCTAAACCTGATGGCCTTAATTTTTCTCTGCCTCCACACCCTGTGGAGGAGGGACTTGGCCTTGAGAGGAGGGAGGAAAAGCAGAAGGGAAGTAAAGCCAGTCTGATTCTAGGCTTGTGCCCCCACAAAAATGCCGATGCGGAGGTCCTAACCCCCAGCCCCCCAGAATGTGACCTTATTTGGAGACAGGATCTTTAGGGAGACAATGACATTAAAATGAGGGCGTTAAGTGGGGACCAGAATCCTGGATGACTGGTGTCCTAAAAAGAGGAGGAAATTGGGGGACACAAATTTTTCCTCCAATAGAGGGGAGACAATGGTCATCGCAAGCCAGGAGAGGGCCTGGGAACAGATCCTCCCTTACAGCCTCAGAAGGGACCAACGCTCCCGACGATGATTCTGATTTCCAGCCCCCAGAGGCATCAGGCGATCAATGTCTGTGGTTTAAGCCCCCCATCGGTGGTATCTTGTTTTGGTAGCCCCCGGGGCTCCGAATGATACCCTCCCGCCCTGACCCTGTGCACTCTCGGCATGCATGCCCTGGTGTGTTCCCTCCCACAGCGGACCAGGGCTGTTCTGGGTGTTGTATAGGATATGACAGACGTGACTGTGTGTGACCAAGGCAGGCTCGGCTCTGAAGGCATGGAGGTTTCCACCTTGGTCTCTTGGATTTCTCGCTCAGGAGGCATTCAGCCGCTGTCGGAAGGCTTACGCTGCCCCATGTCACGAGGACCAGACCATCCAGCTAAACAGAACCTTCCTCCCGGCTCTCCTCCCCTTCCTTCCAGACCCTTCTGGTGCTTTCTCCAGGATCCCCCCTACCCTCAGTCCCGGACCATGCTGACTCCATCAGGACTTCAGGAAGTAAACTGGGGTCAAAATGACTTTGGGGAGATACAACATTACTGATACATGGAAACAAAGGTTCTCGACCTCAGAAGCATGCCAGGAAATGGGCATAAGGAAGACACTTGGAAAGCACGTAAGACTGGAAAGGGATGGGTCAGAAATGTTCTCGAAATCAGAGTGCTTGCTCATGCTCAGTGACAATTTTCAATGAGCATAAATGACTGTATGTTAAGATTTTGGAGGGGGGTGCACTTAGGTGGCTCAGTCGGTTTAATGTCTGCCTTCGGCTCAGGTCATGATCCCGGGGTTCTGGGATCGAGTCCTGCATCGGCAGGGGGGGGGGTCCCTGCTCAGCGGGGAGCCTGCTTCTCCCCAACCGCCTCCTGTGCCGCTCTCCCTCCTTATGCTCTCTCATTCTGACAAATAAATAAAATCTTTAAAAACAAAGAAGTTTTTTTTTTTTTTAATATCCAAAAAGGAGTATTACACCAAGAAAAATACCGGTATATCCATAATGCCAAATGCACTAAACACAGGAAAACCCGTATTGTGATCCCCTGATCCAACTCTCATCCACACAGGGGTTTCTCAGAGGGACTCTGTGCCCTAGGGGCCTAGGCAGTGCCAAGGGGTGAGGCCTTCTGGCTGCAGCTGGCTTGCTAACATGGCCAGACTTCCGTCTTTTGGGACCCCTGGGTTCCACCAGCCACTCCTAGGACCTTACACTCTGGGCGTCCTTGCTGCTGTGGGCAGAGTGGTGTGGAGTCCTTCCTGAGTCCCATGTGCACCCCCATTTCCAGGGACCTCACCTCCCCACCAAGGGCACCTCCCCGAGATTCACCCTCTCAAATCGTGGGTTCCTCCCTTCCACATTAAGGCCCCTAGGAAACCCCAAACCTGACTCTTGGCTGGCTCTCCTTGACTGGAGGGGAGGAACGGCTTCACTGAACCCTCCCAGGAGGCAGGGGCATTGGACTTAACTCCTAAAGCCACCAACAAGGAGAGGGCAAAAAATAGGTTTCCATGTTAAACCCTCTGGAAAGTTCGGGGTGCGCCACCCACATGCTTGTGGGTGGCGGGCACTTCCCAGGCCTTCCCAAGACATTAAATGAACTTGTGGCAGGAGCTGCGGAGGGAAGTTCTGGATTAGGTCCGCTTGGCAGGGGGCACGCTAAGGCCCAGAGAGGTTAAGTTACTAGTTCCAGGTCGCCCAGCTGGGAGGCCTCAGGGCCTGGAGTTCTCTCTGGCCCGGCCCAGGTCAGCGGCGATGCCCACCCACTGGGGCAGGAAGGCTGCTTGGGGCTTGAAGATCCAGCGGAAGGGGGAGCCGGGCAGGGTGAAATTGGCCAGGTAGACGGTGTCCCCGCCCACTAGGTAGGCAGCCCAGATCCCGAACGTGCCCACCGTGATAACGCTGTGGTTACACTGAGTGAGCAGCGCAAAGTCCCTGGCGGGGGAGCCCTGAAGGCCGTTGCCCGCGAACACTACATCGCCCCGGGAGGCGTCAATGTTCTGTCGACACCAGGCCATGTCGTCGCTGGTGACCACGAAGACCAGGGAGCGGTGGCGGGCCCGGAACCAGGCCAGGGCCTGGCACAGGTAGCCCCGGTCGGCGACCACGCCCTTCCACACCCGCGGCATGATGCTCACGTAGTCCCCCCGGCGCACGTGGACGCCCACGAAGGTCGCCCGCGGGGCCCCCTTGGCCTGCAGGCCCCTTAGAAACTTCTGGGCGTCCTCCCGCACGTGGTCATGCAAGGTGAACTCCCGCAGGATCTCGTCTCGCAGGTGGTGGTAGAAGGTCCAGGAGCAGGGGTAGCCGGTGAGGCGCACGTACTCCCCGGGGATGTGGCGGTAGCGCTCCTCCATCCAGTCATTCAGGTGGTAGTTCTGCCAGGGGATGCGGCCGGCCGTGCTGCCGTGCAGGACCGGGAGGCTGATCCGGAAGATGGGGGCCAGCGTGCTGTGCATCTCGGCCGGGATGAAGGCCGGCCGCCCGTTCATCTTGGCCAGGGCGTACAGGGCGGCATACTCGCCCATCTGGTTCCCCAGGCGGCCTTTGGCCGTGATGGTGAACAAGCCCCCCGAGGGCAGGGGTCCGGGGAGCAGGACCACGCGGCCTGAGTAGGCCCAGGGGGCAGGCACCAGGGCCAGGCGGTGGTGGCAGTGGAAGATGGTGGACACCACCAAGAGGATGAAGAGGAAGTAGATGGTGGAGACAGAAGGGCAGGTGGCCCGGAATCCCAGGATGGCTGGGGTAGGGGAAGGGAGCAAAGGGGAAACGGGAAGTGGTCAGGAGCGACAGCTAGGGCCGCACGAGTCTTGTTCACCCCCAAATCATACATTCCTGTGCTCAACTCCTCCAAGCAAGTCCAGGGGCGTCCAGTGTGTCTTGACCCGCTTTCTGCTCTGCCCTCTACCTGTGGTTTCCCCATGGCTGCAGTTCGGGAGTCTCGTGGGCCCGGACAGAAGGAAGCACTGGGCGGCAGGACCCCCACTCTCCACGCTCTGCCTTCTGCCCCACCCCTCTCCAGGAGCCCCACTGCTCCCTCTGGCCAGCCCCCTTAAATGGCAGGGTTCTGTGGGCCTTGCCTCAGCTCTCCTCCTGCTCCAATATTCCAGGGCTCCTGACTTTAGTAATCTGACCCTTTGGGAAATCTGAACACTTATGGGCCCTCCTCAAAAGTCCCTTGTTTAATGTGGGTCCCCAGTGAGGTCGCTGGCTCTTCCACAGGAGGGCTAAAGTAGGACATCACCTGCCCTTCCCTGGCAGGGCACCATAAATGCCCTGCCCGCTGCTTTAGTTGCCAAAAAACGAGCCCCTCTTCTCTCTGGGCTGGTGACTGCTCTGTCCCAATCCTCATCACGCTGTCTGCTCAGCTCAGGTCCCGCTGGGGGCCAGCTTTCAAGGCTGGCCAGGTCCCAAAGCCAGAGCAGGTGAGCTGAGCAGGGACTGGAGCCTGGGCCACTGGAGAAGCAGCAGGGACTCAGGACCAATGTACCCACGGCCCAGGGCCGCCTCCGTGGTGCGCAAACGGGCAGTGGTCCACCGCCTGCACTCACGAGGACCTACGCTTCACCCGGCTGTCAACTGAACAGGCGGCTTCTGATCTCGGGATCGAGAGTTTGAGCCGCATGCTGGGGGTAGAGTTTACTTTAAAAAAAAAAAAATGGGGGCCTGCACTTGGTTTAATGCTCTGCTCTCACCAGGTAGAAATTATCAGTACATCCAAATAAGGAATCCCATGTTTTCACTCCCCGCTAGGCTCTGCAAACCGGGCCGCTAGTTCGGCTGTCACCTTCTGTCCTTGAATTTCAAGAGCGCCCTCTCTTGGCTTCTTGTCAGGAAAGTCCCAGAAAACCAGGGCATCTGGGCTGCGGCCCCCGGACCCCAGGACGCGATTCCTTACCAGCCACCTTCCTGAAGACTGGTGGCCAACCCCCATCTGAACGGAACTCGTGTGGGGACAAAATGGGGCCTGAAGCGACCTGCGGCTCCTTGGGGACTTGACTTAATGTGATGCCCGTGTGTTCTGCTGCACAAACCGTTAACGTTCAATTATGGGACGCTGCCCAGACCCCGCACCCCGCTGTGGGGCCGATGGCGAGTTTCTGAACCCCGTCTGGTCCAAAAGTTTCAGGTATGAGACTGCAGGCCTGTCTTCACTCATCTAGACCTCGTGGTCTCCCCTGGGGAAGGCGCATTGTTAGGGTCATTTAACAGATGAGGACACTAAGGCACAGAGAGGTTAAGAAACCTGCTGGAGGTCACACAGCTAGGAAAGAGGGAGCAATGGATCTGAACCTCAGAAATCTGTGCTCTCCATTGCTGTCCTCGATTTTTCGAGTCTTCCGGAGGGAGAGCTCTCAGATGCACGCTCTCCGTCCAGTTATACGCAGAGTACGACCTGCCCTGCCTCTTGGGACCTCTTATTTCTGGGCCACCGAGGCAGGGATGAAAGACCTCTGAAAGCCCAGAGCTGTGGGTCCCACCTGGCTGAGCCACCACGGAGCTGTGCCCCAGGGAGATCCTGCTTCCTCTCTGGGGCGCTGTGAGGGGAAAGGTGCCCAATCCCGGAGGAGCTCCTCCCCCTCCAAAAAAAAAAAAAAAAAAAAGTTTCTTTCCCAATTTGGAGAATTCTTTCTGCTCAGCTCCTGCCGCTGCTTCTGCCTCCCCCCCCCACAGCGCCCCCCCAAGGTACCTTGGGGGTAATCGCGTCAAGCAGCTCAGGCTGCAGAAAAACAAGAGTGAGGAAGAAGCCTCCCTCCAGGTCACATTAGCTTAAGAAACTTCTTGTCCCCAGGAGGGGAGGAAAATAAAGGGAGACCCAAACCTTCTGGACTTTTCTCTGGCCATTAAGTCGGCTCGGGTCGCTCCTACCTTGACGATGCCTGGGTGGCTTCCCCTCCCCGCTTTCAGGCCTCAGCCCAAATGTCCGCTCCAGAACCCTGCCCTACCTGCACTTTCCTGCCCGCTTTTGCTCCGAAGGGCCTGTCACCTTCTGCCATTCTCTAGAACAGAATTACTTACTGCTTCTCCACAGCGATCTCTCCTCTAGATCGTAAGCCTGACAAGGACGGGGAGGGGAGTTTGTGGATGAGTTCGCTGGGGTGCGGGCACAGAGGAGGGAGGGAGCCTTGCGGTCCGGTGGCTCACACTGCCTGTCTCCGCCTGTCCCCAGGCACCCCTATGCCCCCTCTTGCAGCCAACCGCTCCCCACAGCCTAATTTCAAAACTGATGCCTCTGTCCCAGCTCCCGCCCAGGCTTGTCCCTCCACGGTGGTGCAAGGGGGTCCCCAGGAACCAGAATCACAGACCGTCCTGGCTGCGCCCGACCCCAGAACAGGCTCCTGGCAGAAGGAGGGGGGGGTCCCAAATTCCTATCAGGGTTGGGTCCACACAGCACCACAATAAACCAGAAAATGTACCAGTAAACATACGCAAAGCCACGGCAGCACATATCTGGGTCCTCAGCTCCCCAGGGCTTCTCTCAGAGGGAAGGAGTAGAAAGAGTTATTTTTCTAGTCAAAACCAGTGGGTCTGTAATGGTTGACACATTTGCATGAAAATCTCGTGACTGAAGTGTTAAGGCCATGGGGAGGCTGTCTTTGAGCTTTGTCTCTGTCCCCCTCAGGGTCCCTGCTCTCTTCCTCCAACACCAGAGGAGGGAGGCCCAGGGAATCTCACCTCCTCACTTCCTTCCCTAATGTCTTAGAAAGCAGCCCAATTCTTTGGGTTTTCCTATGGCCGCCCAGATCTTGCCAAAAGGAGAGCGACTCACCTCAAAGCTCAGTTTACCTACAGAGGACAGAAGGGTCCAGAGGGGAGGAGGGGCTGGCTGGGGGTCCCACTGCCTGGCAGATCAGCCCCTACCCCTCCGGATGGGAGGGATGGACTGAACCACCATGTGGTGAGCTGAGCCCAGCCAACAGCCTCCAGTAGCTGGGAGCCGTGGGGAGTCGGTGGGACAGAGGTCTGAGTGTGAGGGCGGTGGGGACCCCAGACCCGGGAAGCCCATGGAGCCACTGTCCCATCCTACCTGTCTTGAGCCTCCTGGGCCAGCGTGCTCTGGGCTGCCTGGTTTCAGGCCCCCCTGGGGTGACATCCCTCACGTCCCACACAGTCCTGGGTGGTGTGGCTGGATGGGGTCCCTGCGGGGAGAGCGTGGCTGCGGTTGGCGAGGGGACTTGGGCGGGGGTGGGGGGGGGGAGCGGTGGTGGTGTTGGATTCTGCGGGCTCTGCTCAGAGCTCCCGCCCAGAACCCCCACTAGCCTGGGGCCTGACAACAGCCACTCGGCACTCACTCCTGAGAGCCCACGCCCCACCGCCAAGCTCCTGCAGGAGGGAAGAACACCACGTGAGGAGCTAACTACAGCGGACACTCTCTTCTTGGGTGCAGGTTTGGCCAATGTTAGGGGCAAAGGGCAGGGTGCGTGCAAAAAAAGACAGGGAAAAGGAGCCTGGGTCCCAGAGGGACCCCTTCACTGCCCAGGCATTGGGGCCTAATGATGGGTCTGGTGGGAGCACAGCTAGACTGTGCTCCTTAAAGGGGGGAAGGGAGTGGGCTCTGGCTCCCAGTGGGGTAGGGGCTGGGGGCTGGACATCTGAGTCCCCAGATGGGCAAGGGCTGGCTTCCGGATCCCCCAGGAATGCTGGGGGACTTGCGGCCTGGCTGTCCGAGGTGCTAAGGGCCAAAAAACAGTACCCCGTGAGCCACCCAGGCAAGAAAGGAGAGGTAGGAGATGGGGGCTCGGTCCTTAACGAGGCTGGCGCTAAGGGACAAGGTGAATGCCAGGGCCGCATGGGCGCAAAATGGCGCCAGGCTCATCGGGAGGGGCGGCGGAGGGTGAGGCCCATTATCTGGGGCCCAGGGGTGGGGGGATGGCGGTCTCTGCACGTGGCAACCACAGTGGGGATACTAGAGGCTATGAAATCAGGCCCAGGGCGTTTGTGACCCCAGCCGCACCCCCAGATGCCTCAGAGACTCCCGGGAGCAAGCCAGGGGCACGGACACTGGGGCCCAGAAATGCTCCAAAGTCCCCAAACATGAGGCAGTTCGTCATTAGGGTCTGCTGGCCCCAGAAGGGGAAAACCGGGGGCGGGGGTGCTTTCCACACCAAGCCCTCCCTAGCCCCTGCCATCCTAGGGTCTGGACTTCAGGCACCCCTCAGACACTCTGCCACCTGGCCCTGCTTCTCTTTCCGCCCCCACCCCCGCCAGCACCTGCCACCTCCACGTCTGTTAGACCTTCTAATCTGGGGACCCTAGGGTGGGTAGAGAATGTGGGGGCTCCACTCTCCTGACCCTGAGGCCTAGGATGATAGGCGGGAGTGGGGAGGGCTGAGATTATCAGAAAGTCTTCTGAAATCCAAGGATAGGGTCCTCCCACTCTGAATTCTAAGGGGGACTCAGACATCTGCTTTCCTAACCCCCCTTCTTCAGCTCCTGAGTGACCCAGGCTTCCAGTCCCCTGCGTGACCCCCTCCGGTTCCTTAGCACACAGTTCTCTGGGCTTTGCACCTGGGTGGGAAAGGGTTAAGGCCGGGTGGAGGCTAGGGGTGGGTGGCAGCGAGGAGGAGGCGGCTGGGTTGTTTGGCGATAATCCCCCTCCGTGCCCTGGGTGTGGAGAACAAGGTTAGGGCCCCACGTGGGAAAGGGCCTCTGCTCTGATCCTCGTGGGCCAGGGGCCTGGCCTCCAGCTTCTGATGCCCCGCCGAGCCCATCCCCCGCTTCCCCACCTCCCTACTGGCTAAGCTAGGGAGGCCCTCCATTCTCCTCCGGCTCCTTGGGTGTGTCTCGGAGCCCTCAGGTCTGCCTGTCCGTCTGTCCTGGCCCCGGCCTCTCTGAGACTCCATATCCCCCATTCCCTGTGGATCTGGGTGTCCAGCCGCAACCCATCTGGACCTTCCAGCCTCCCTTTATGTCCGGTCCTCTATCCTCACGCTTCCTTCTCTGCACCTGGCCCTTCCCTTAGATTTGGGTCCCCTCCTCTCCGTCTGTCTTTGCTGTCTGTGCCTCTGTCCCTTTCTCTATTTCTTTGTTTCTAAGCTTCATCAGTATCCAAGTCCCCCTCCCCGCCTCGTGGTCTCTCTAGGTTTCCCCATCTGTCCCCACCCCTTGCCCTCTCCCCAGGGCCCCCACCCCTCAACACCGATGATAGCTCTGGGGTGTTAAGCTACGGATTAGTTCAGGCAAAATTCTCAATTTTGCTTGCGTTCTTTTCCCTTTGGGTTATGTAAACAGTAATTCTCCCCAGATGGAACTATTTTCCTCGCTTAGCAGCAGCCGGGGAGGGGGCTCAGGGGGGAGGGGGCTCAGGCAGGGCAGGGGGTGGAATGCTGGGGGTTCCTCAGAGAGCCTGGGGCGGGGGAGCAGGGTGGAGACTGACCCATGAGGGCAGCCTGAGGCCCTCAGCCTGGTCCCTCTTCTCCTCTCCAGGTACGTGCTCTCTAGGACCATGTCCGTGACCTTTGCACTCTTGCTCCTCCTGGGCCAGGCCGCCACCGCAGACCCATGTTACCATCCCAGTGGCCGTCCGCGCTTCTGCCTCCCACCAGTGACCCGGCTGGCTGGCATGGCAGCCTCCTGTCCCCAGGCCTGTGCCCTCTCCCTGGGGGCGGACCTCAGCCCCCGGGCCACCTGCAATGGCAGTCTAACTCTGGCCCTGGGTGGCCCCTTCCTCCTGACGTCTGTCAGCCTGCGCTTCTGCACCCCAGGATCCCCGGCCCTGGTTCTGTCCGCTGCCTGGGCTGCAGGAGGTCCCTGGAGATCGCTGTGGCGCAGACCCGCCTGGCCCGGGGCCTTGGGAGGCCCCGAGAAGGTGACCTTCCGAGCCTCGCCAGGCCCTAAATCCAGCGTCCTGGTCAGTCACCTCCGTGTGGAGTTCGGGGGCCGGGCGGGGCTGGTGGCAGCTGGAGTTCGGGGGCGCTGCCAGTGCCACGGCCACGCAGCCCGCTGCGCCGCCCGCGCCCGGCCTCCCCGCTGTCGCTGCCGCCACCACACCGCTGGCCCAGGGTGCGAGAGCTGCCGCCCGTCCCATCGAGACTGGCCCTGGCGGCCTGCCACGCCCTGGCACCCCCACCCTTGCCTGCGTGAGTCCTGGGCCCCCCCCTTCCTGCCTTCACCCACTCCCACCCCGCCCCCACCCTCCAGGGGCTGGTCCCTGGTCCCCACAGGCAGTGTGCTGTCTCCCTCCAGAAAGCTCCTTGCTCTTTGCTTCACCCCTGCTGATCCTGAGCCCTCCCCCGCCTCCCCTGCCCTACAGCCTCCCACCTGCGCTCCCCCTGCCTGTCCTGGTCCTTGCTGCCCCGACTTCCAGCTGCCCCATAAGGGGCTCCAGCCTCTGGCCCACTTGCCATTATGAAGCTGCTGCTGCTATGAATAGCATTTCCTGAGTGAGCGCAGGTACAGGGCGGTTGGACCTTTCCTGACTCCTCAGACCCACCACAGCGGTTAAGTCCAGTTAAGTCCGTACTGAGGCACCACCTGCTGTGTACCAGGCGGGGTTTCTCATCACGTCCATTTTACAGACCAGGAGACCGAGTTTAGGGGGAGAATTCCCTCGCACAAGGACACACAGCTAGTAAGTGGCAGATCCAAACCCGAGCTCAGAGCTCAGGGGTCTTGGCTTGTCCCTGCCAAGCTCCCATCAGGGGCAACCTTGCTAGGTGCTCTAGAGTGACAGACGGGCCCATGGGCTTGGCAGCGAGCCAGCCAGCCTGGGCTCAAATCCCATTTCCTCTGCTTCCGGGCTGTGCGACCACAGGCAAGTAACTTGACCTCTCTGGGCCTCCACTTCCTTCTCGACTGTAACGTAGGGACGGTGACAGCACTTCTTTCATAGGCTGTAGTGCAAATCCAATGGGTCGATATGCATAAAGTCCTTAGAATAAAGCTGGGTATGGCACCTGGCACCGAAGAAGAGCTCGCTGCATACCTGCCAATGTTACCGGTCCCCAGATGAAGGAGGGGGGCCCCCAGAGGGGAGGCATCGCTTGCCCTCAGGCTCTGTGCCAGCAAGGGGCAGTGCTGGGTCTAGACTCAGGGAGACAGAACTTCCTCCATAGCGAGCAATCCCCTAGGCCATCCAGGTAGACCAGAGCTCCCGAGGCCCGCTCCACGCTCCACTCCCTCTCCCCTCCACAGTGTTTCCAGACCCAGAGCTTCTGGATCCTGGCCCTTGCCCATTGCTCCAGCAACCCCTCCTCAGAAACAGCCCTCCTTCCTGCACCGCCAGCCTGCGGGCCTGGCTAGAGGGTCTGAGTGCGTTATGAGGCCTTGGAAAGTACATCTACTCTACTGACAGAGACAGACAGACAGACACACATCCCTCCTCTCTCCACCCTCCAATTCTTTGCCCATCCCTGCTCTCTTTCTTCCTGCCATGTTGTGTGGAGTAACTTAGAGCCTGCCCCACTGTCCTTGGCTCCCCACTATGTCCTCCTCCCCATTGGGGTCTTGTTAGACCCTCTGCTCCCACCACCTCTGGCCCACTCCCACCAGCCAGATCTGAGACCCCTGCGGGGTGGGGGTGTGGGGGGGGAGGGGAGACTTACATTGCCTGGGGGTAGGAATTGGTTCATCCTGGGCCCTGAAAGGGCCTGGGAGCTGGGGAGGCCGTCCCTCTGAGGATCACCACGTTGCCCCAGGCTGAGCATGGCCCTGGCGGCTGCACCTGGGTAAGAAGCCAATAGTGTTGTGACGAAGCAGAGTCTGGGCAGATGGGGTGGGACTAAGTCCTGTGGCAGAGCTGCCAGCTTTACGGGGGCCCAGTGCTCTGAACCCCTTCCAGCCATGTTAGTCTTCCGGATGGAAGTGAGTTGAAGTCTTCACCCTCAGGTCAGAAAGAACCCAAAGCCTGATTCTTCCCACTGATAACCCGAAGAGTACTGTGGCCCACGGCAGCCCTGGGAGAGAGGGGCTAAAATCCCCACTGCATGGGAGGAAACCAAGGTTTAGGGAAGCGAGTCATTTCTTTCCTGCAGCTGCCCCTCTGTGTTGTGGGTACCCGCCAGTCCAGGCCTCCCAAACTCTTCAGGGGTCAAAAACTCCTTACACCTCTCCCAAGAGCGGTCCATGAACCCCCTCCTGTGGCCCCTCACTCAGAAACGCTGGCTAGAAATACAGATCCCCGGGCACAGCTGAAGGCCTGGGGTGTGCCCTGGAAGAAGTGCAGTTTCTTCTTAACATTTCCTGGTAACTCTAAGAAGTAGGAAGGTTTGAGAGCCACGGCCTCACTGATCAGCGCTCCCCAGGAACACACACACACACACACACACACACACATATACACACACACACACAAAATCCTCATGCCACTGTGGGCCACACTGGAGCACGGTTGCCAAGAGCTCTGGGTTCTGAGCCTGCCTCTGACCGCACCCCCAGCCGTGTTACTTTGGGCAGATGACTTTGCCTCTCTGTGCCTCTGCTTTTGCATCAGTAAGTTGGGGCTGGTGACAGCACAGGCCTCACAGAGCCGCTCTGAGAATGAAACCTGCTGAGCACGGATGCGCATGCTCTGTGTCAAAGGCCCTGGGGCAAGCCCTTTATATCCTTTTGGTTTCCTTTAAACCTTGCAGAGGGGATGCTGTAACTGGTGTCTTACAGCAGAGGAGGCCGAGCTGTAGAAAGAAGTCACTTGCACATGAGCACAGTGGGGAGCAGACATGCAGGGGGGCTGACCCCACAGCCCAAGTCCCCTGGAGCCGAGCGGCCGCTCCTCCCTAAGCTCCCAGTTTCACACAGACTTTGGGCCCTCGGGCTCACCCACTCCAGTCCAGTGTGCCCCCCTTAAAGATGAGAATGAGGCGGGTCTGGGACCCAGACAACCTCCTCATTGCAGGGATGCGTTATTTCCTCTCCTGAGGGCGGGGGTGGGGGGGAACCTGGGGACCGGGACAGAAGGCGGGAGCCTGAGGCACCTGTCGCGACCTGTCTCTAGCCTGCTCCTGCAACCAGCATGCCCGACGCTGCAGGTTCAACTCGGAGCTCTTCCGGCTGTCCGGAGGCCGGAGTGGGGGCGTTTGTGAGAGGTGCCGCCACCACACGGCCGGGCGGCACTGCCACTACTGCCGGCAGGGGTTCTGGAGGGACCCCAGCCAGCCTATCACCAGCCGCAAGGCCTGCAGGGGTGAGTGCGGCCTGGAGCCCGACCTAGAGGGAAAGGAGGTGGCCGGGCCAGACTCTTGGGGCTGGGGGACTGGGAAGGAGCGTCTGGGGCCCTGACAGCCTGGGTCCTAAGTTCCTGTCCTCACGCAGCCTGCCAGTGTCACCCGATCGGGGCCACGGGAGGCATCTGCAACCAGACCAGTGGGCAGTGCCCCTGCAAGTTAGGGGTCACCGGCCTCACGTGCAACCGCTGTAGTCCCGGCTACCAGCAGAGCCGCTCTCCCCGGATGCCCTGCCAGCGTGAGTCTGAGGGGCAGGGTTGCAAGTCCTAAGTGGGACAGGAAGGGGACATCCTGGATCTCCAGTGGGCAAGGATGCTGATGGCCAAGTCCTTGGTAGATGGAAGCTAGAGGCTGGAGGTCAGACTCTGGGCTCTTGGGGGAGGTGGGGACTCAAATTCCAGTCTCCTTAGTCTTGGGAAGGAGGAGGCTAGGAGCCTGGACTCCTGGGTCTGAGGGAGGAGGGGGTGGGGGATCTGAAGGAAGGGACTAGGGACCAACTCCAGGTCCTAGGAGGAGGAGGGCAAAGGGAGCGTGCACTCCTGGGCTTTAAGGGAATAGACACGGGATCTGGATGCCTGGATACCTGTTGGTGGGGGGACGCATGGGAGGGGGCATTAAGGGTAAATTTCTCCTTTGGTCTCTCACAGGAATTCCAGAGGCAACCACCCCCCTGGCTACTACCCCTAGTGCTTACAGCTCCGGTAAGAGCAGCTGGTGTGGAGAACCCTGAGAGCAAGGGCAATCAGGGATGGGCTGCTTGGGCCCCCAGATGGGGAGACAGGGGTGGCCCACTGAGCCCAATCCCAAGGGGTGGGGCACCCCAGTTGTCCATCAAGATGGAGTGTGGGGATGGGCAGGGGTGGGGTGCTGCGGTCCAGGCCTCAGGAGCCCACTGCAGATGGCCTGACCCTCCCCAGACCCCCAGTGTCAAAACTACTGCAACGTCTCGGACACCAGGGTACACATGAGCCTCCGGAGGTACTGTCAGCAAGACTACGGTGAGTGCCGGGGAGAAAAGTGGCCGGCGGCTACTCAGGTGTTCTGTTGAATGCCTCCTTCTCCACCTTCAGCTTTCTCATCTTAAACGGGAAGGAGGTCTCTAAAGGACTCTTCCTGATCTCGGACCTAATGGGGCAGAAGACAAAGGGGGGGCAGGGGCAGCAGAGTGGGGGTGTTCCTTATCTTCCTAGGTCTCCTCCTTCCCCATGTTCTTGGCCCCCTTCAGCTGGACATCTTTGGGGGAGAAAGGGGACCTTCTGGGGATCAAAGGAGAAGGGGGTGCCCATTGAATGGAGGGTCCTGCCTATCTTAGACACTTTGCTTCGCCCGTCAGGGTCCCAGATTCTGAACCGTAGCCCCACTCCCACAGAGGCTCACCCCCAAAGTTCCCTAACCCATGACCTCAGGGCCTATGACCTGGGGTAACTCAGATCTCTTAGATACTCAGGAGTTCAGCCCAGCCCTTGAATCCAGACCAGCCTGTGACTTCCCTCAATGGTGTAAGACCCCAGGCCTCTCCTCCCTGAGGATCATCATCTGGCCAGTGGTGTTCTAGGACTTGGACAATAGAAACTTCTTGTCCTGCCTCCCACAGGGATCTTCTGCCCCACAGACTTAGCTTGTGAGCCAGAGTCCTGCCCACAGCACATCTCACCTTAGCCCTTCAGAGATCACGTTTCTGAATCACCACCAGTCTGACCTCAACCCTCAGGTTCTAGGTTCTGAACTCCTTCTGGCCCCCAAATTCATCCCAGAGCCTCTCCCAAGCCTTTTTCCAAGGGCTCTACTTCTGACGTCTTTTGACTCTACCACATTTGAGAACCCCCACCCGCCTCTTCTGCCTTGTTCCACCCACACCCACTGTGGGCCCCGCAGTCATCCCTCCCCGCACCTCAGGTCATTCTGGCTTCTGCTGCTCCCAGGATGAACCCCAACCAAAGCATCCCACATGGCATGTCCCATGTTCCCAGGCTCCTCCTTTGGCCTCCCCTCCACAGGAGGAGCCCTCCATCGCCCCACTCTTCCTATCACAATTCTGGCACCCCACCTCACACTCCATAGAGCCCTGCCCTCCTTGCCTTGACCATGTCTCCTCCAGCAGGGTCCACCATTCAGGACACAGGGCCATACCTCCAGAGCTCTCACCCTTCAACGTTCAAGGTCTCTCTCCTCCCTGAGGGCTTCCTGGGAACCCACCCCCGTGGTCCTGTCCCTCTCCCCACCGGGTCAGACCCCTTGCGACCCCAGAGCACTCCTCTCCAGCCTGGGCCTGATGGCAACCCTCCCCGCAGTTCTCCGCGCGCAGGTGCTGGCGTCGGAGGCCGCGGGCCCGGCGTGGCAGCGGCTGGCCGTGCGCGTGCTGGCCGTGTACAAGCAGCGGGCGCGGCCCGTGTCCCGCGGCGGCCAGGATGCCTGGGTGCCCCGCGCAGACCTGGTCTGCGGCTGCTTGCGCCTTCGGCCCGACACCGACTACCTGCTGCTGGGCAGCGCGGCCGGCGGCCCTGACCCCACGCGCCTGGTCCTCGACCGCCACGGCCTCGCGCTGCCCTGGAGGCCACGCTGGGCCCGGCCTCTGCGGCGGCTGCAGCTGGAGGAGCGCGCCGGGGGCTGCCGCGGCCTGCGGCCCCCCACCCCAAGCCCAGGCCCCGAACCCCGAACCTCAGAGCCAGACCTGGGTGCCTTCACAGCCCACTGAGGAACTTGGAAGCGACGTGAGCCAAGCCTTCCACTTCGATGGTGCGTCCCTTAGCGAGCCAATCAGAAGCCGTGGAGCCCCTGACGTCACTGGCACGCGCCCGCTAAAGTGCGGGGGCCCCAGAACCCGCTCCCCCCCGCCCGCCACCACCAAAGGCTGCAAAACGCCAGCAAGACTTTTGAGGTATCTGACCAGGACGTTTGGCCTGTGACCTGTGCGGCCACTCCCCTAAATAAAGCCTTAAATCTTGGGGGGAATTTCGGCTACAGCACCTGATATGTGCTGGGATGGGGGGGAGGGTTGCAAGTGAAGGAAACTACGCAGCTGAAGGACTGCTGTGCTCCCAACGCGATGCCTGGTCCAAGCAAGGGGTTGGTACGCCGTCGCTGCGTGCTGGTCAGATCTGTGTTGCTTGATCGGCCAGAAGCCAGTTGGAGGGAGGGTGGATAGAAAAGGCGGGAAATGCGCTGAAGGAAAGGACAGCGCTTCCAGACTTCCAGAAAGTTCCACACTTCGGCACTTTGTGTTCCTGATGGGTCCTAGGGCAGTCTCTGAGAAAGGAATAAAGGGAGTTGGGGTGAATATCCAAAGAGGGTTCTTACCGAGGTTCATCTGGTCTTGAGGTGCAGCCTAAACCCTTCCCTGAGAAAAGAGCCCATTGGGAGCCACAAAATGGCATGGCATTACTGGGTGCTGAGCGGAATTCTACTCCCACCCCACAGCTGGGTACCTCCAGGCCGGAGGGGTGGAGCTAAAAAAAAAACCCAAGAAGCAGTAAGTACTATGGCAGTGAAGGTTGTCATGGCCTAGGACCTTCCTTGCCACCCTGACCTCTGCCCCCTGCAGCCACAATGGAAAACACCATTTCAAATTTGAGTGTTCTTTGCAGGAGAGTCACTGAGGGAGTACTCTGAGGGATTCTCAAAGGAAGAAATATGACTTCGGGTTCTTTTGAGCCTAGAGAACAACCCTGTTCCTCCCCTGAGAGGAAAGTGGGCCTCTCAGCCAATGGAGAGTCAGGATGGGTCATGATGTCATAGGGTACTAGGTAGAAGGAAAGGTCCTCCCGTTAAGGTTCTGCTGTGCTCCTCATGAGACTGAAAAAGGCAGGAAATAGACTCCAGGAGGTGACTGTTTAATCCCCAAGCCACCAGTAATATCTCATATCTGGGAAACATGTCTTTGGCTTCAGCCAGGTCCATGGTGGGGGCATCTCTGAAGCAGAAGTTAGGAGTCTCTAAAAGATTTTCTTTTTCTTTTCTTTTTTAATAAAGATTTTATTTATTGCCAGAGAGAGTATGGGGGGAGAGACAGAGGGGGAAGGAGAGGGAGAAAATTTCAAGCAGGGTCCTGCTGAGTATGGAGCTGGAGGTGGGGCTTGATCTCCGGACCCTGGGATCATGACCTGAGCCGAAACCAAAAGTGGGATGCTCAACCAACTGAGCCACCCAGGTGCTCCTCTTTAAGGGATTTTCTAAGAAGCAGTCTATGTTCCAGGAAAATTATACTCCTAATCTTGTCTTTTTTCATTCATTCTTTTTTTTTTTTTAAGATTTTATTTATTTATTTGACAGACAGCGATCACAAGTAGGCAGAGAGGCAGGCAGAGAGAGAGGGGGAAGCAGGCTCCCTGCTGAGCAGGGAGCCCGATGAGGGGCTTGATCCCAGGACCCTGAGATCATGACCAGAGCTGAAGGCAGAGGCTTGACCCACTGAGCCACTCAGGCGCCCCTCCATTCTTTCTTGAAGCCAGTTTCGTGGGGCATTTGCCCCATACCTCCCTGCCCCCCACATGTCCTGTCCCATCAGCAAGTCCTGTATAATCCACTGCCTACATATGTTCATAACTCAGCCATTTTTACATGTCCCCCGATACCACTCTGTCCAAGCCACCACCAGTGTTCTCTTGGATTATTACAGTGACCCATACTGGTTTTCCCTCTACCCCCTTAGAGTTTTCTTCCTACAGAATCAGGAAGATGGCTTTAA